CAATATGGCGTCTATTTGAAAGTTTGATCTTCATTAATACTTTAACCTCCTTTTCCACCGAATAATAAAAAGTATTCTAACATAAAGTACGTCCAGGCTCTGAGGAAGGCGAAGTCGCCGAAACGTCAGCCATCGTTCAATAACATCAAAAACAACAACAACGAAGATCTGTACCAACCTCGCGTCAGCTTAAGAAGATCAGTTTATAAGATCACATAAATAAATATATCAACTATTTATGCCGAGGTTCATAGAAAGTCGGTCTTTCGAGTTAATGAGAGGCTTAGTCGGCTTGGCGCGGTGCCGAGTATTAAACGGCATCACTACCAATGCGCTACCCAAGTCCCATGGAAGTTCCTCAAAAAATCTAAATTTTTAACGACGCTTGCGAAGGAATTACAAACTTTTCCGTACATAGACTAGGCTTGAATTTCAATATGTACTTGAATCGCTCGACATCATGAAAAGTTGTGCGAGCCTTGCCACTTTCATTTCACTGACATTTTATTAGTTGAGCAAAATCCTCTTTCCCCGGTCTCTTTAGACAGAAATTTATAAAGTCATCGAAGGAGAGACTCCTTAAAATAAAGGATCATAGAGAGATTTACCATTTCGTAACTGGGTTACTAGTCTTGCACAACAGCTCCATTTTACAGTTTACTCTTAGACGAGCCTCCGAATAGCAACATCGGATTCTCTGCTTCTGTCTCAGAACTTAATGATCTTAATGAGAAATGCAGCCCAGCTGTACATTTCCTACCCACTGAAGGAAATAGTCTACCACTCCCTCTAACATCACACTAGCACCACCACTTCACATACAATTGCGAGTCGATTTAGCGCATCCAACAACTCGACCTCGAATAGAATTACACCTATTTCCATCGGATTTGCATACCCTTACAGTGTTTTTCGAAAATTTTAAAACGGGGAAGAAACTTGAGACATGAAATCCCAGCATTTCCTAGTATTCCTATGCACCCGATCTAAGCCCCTCAGTCAGTGAACATAACAAAACCAAAAATGGTACTCAACTTGCAGCAAAATCCGCATCTACAAATCCTGTTCACTATTCCCAGACCACATTCTTAAAAAGAACTACACCTATTTCCGGTATGAGCTACCGAGATGGTAAGCCTTTCTGCGAATTGGGATTTCTCATGTCAAAAAGTATGACATTCATACATATTCAGAGTGATCGCATAACCGTAAAACACGCTTATTCACAAATGAGGACTGAACGTCGCACAAAGAGCTTCCTGTACCTCCCTTCCTAACTGTGTCATCTGTAATACATCACAATTCATTTCATTTACTTCCATAAAAAAATAGCCAACCCAAGACTAATCATTCTGGACACAAACAATATACCCACTTATACTACAACCAGCCTAAACACACACACACTGACAATATTACTATTTCATATAAAGAATTTTTAAAAGAATGTATAAAAGAACGAATAACCTCAAAGAAAAGAAGTCTACTCCAATCAGTAAAAATAAAAGCCGAAATCGTACCACGTAGTTACCTCACATATAGTTTACTGTACAACAAAGTACGAGTTGTATGCGGAAAGATAAGTGTTAGTGACAAGAGAATCAGGATTACGGGTTCAGATTTATCATATCAGAACATTGTAAGTGCTACAGATGCGCTTTAAACACCGAGATCATGAACGGTATGAGTTATTGAGATGGTAAGCCTTCATGCGAATTGGGACTTCTCATGTAAAAATGTACGACATTCATCCAAATACGCATAGCACATCGCATCATCATCATAGTAACATCAAAATATTACCCCACCAACCGGTTATTGATTGCCACAATGTCAACAGATGTGTGGATAATGATACGGACAAGTTTGAAAAGAGAAAGAAGGAAGTAAAATGAGGATGAATAAGAATGAAGAAAACCTCACCGCGAGCAGAATTAGTCCAGATACTAAATGAAAAAAAACAAAAGAGACCACTAAAAAAGACAAGGACACTTCACCGATTTAAAAAACTGATGAATACATGAGACATTTAAATAATCACCCAGTCAACATGCCACAACACTCAGTACAGCCTAAAGAATTATCCGCTTCATTTCTGAGCTCAAATCTTGTAATTCGGAGCCCCTCGATTGTACGAGTTCACGTTTGAGTATCGAAGATCTTGATTCGAGCCGAGAGGGCAGTACAACGTGGATGAATTTAATGATTGCCTACTTCCTAAAAAAAATAAGGTCAGCGTATCCATAACGAATATAGTAAGGGATAAATATGTGAGACCTGAAATTCTACAAAAGAAAACCACTGATACAAATAAGCAAGACTTTCGAGGCATTTAAAACTACAGTACGACATTACTGTAACAATTGTCTAAATTTAGCCTTTTCTTATATAAAAATTCTACTCTAGATTATTAAAGCCTTTTCGAAATTAGGCCATCTACATTGATGATGCAACGTAACATCGCTCGTGCTATCGCCAGGTTTATATTTTCCTACATATCTCAGTGAACAGCGCCACCAGGCCAACCATATCCTTTCTCCTTCCGTGGCACTCATATCACTAGACACAGTTTCATCATTAAAGAGTGAAAAAGATAAACTGCGTAGCGGTGCAATTTGTAGGCGGAATATGAGCGTGGTGACACATCTCGGACAGATGGACCTACACGAGGGAAATCGCTACTTTTCATTCGTCGTGACATGGAAAACGTTAGAAAGTTCCTTTCAAGCTAATAACAACGTAACTCTTGAAAACGCTCAATAGTTTAGAGAAAATCTGGATGAAAAGAAACCTGGCTGCCGTGTAAAGCTAAGGTATCTCATATCGCTTCTACAGAAACTCTTTCGAAAACCTAACTAGTAAATAGCGCTAATACCACTTCTTTTCATTTACTTAAGACCAAATCAGTACTATTTCTTGCATGAACTCCTTAATTTTTATATTAAAATAAACTTAACATCAGCGTAGAAAAATGTTTAAAAACTAGAAAAACGAAACCAGAAAACCATCGATACACTCCTTTTTCAATGGTGGGAAGGTGTTTTTTCGAGAAACTATTGTTCCAATTCCTTTTTTCGGTAGTGCAGACAACCAAACTGATTAAGTGGTAACAACCAAAGACAAACACTTCTGTTCCAAAAAAGAAAAGACAGAAATTTCAAAGAAAAAAATGTCTCATCTGTGCAAAAGAAAAAATAAATATTGGCAAAAGTCTTGAAACAGACGTTGGAAACTGAACGACCTATGAAGCACGTCAAAACAGGTGGATACTGGACAAAATCAACAAAATATTAACGTCTGAAATAATGATTAATGATACATGGAAACTTTAAACAATGCTCTCTTAGCATCATTTATTGCATTTTTTTTTCGGTCAAAATCTATGTACTGTTTCAAAGTGACAAAGTAATGCTATCTATTTCGGAGCGCCTTCAATTCAAAACAATCCAAACGACAAACTTTCATTGGTAATGAGCCATAAACTGATACTCACTCCAGCTTGATCAACAAATCTAATTTCCCTATGGTAACGTAATTTACGCGATGGAGGCACGTGTAGCGCAGTGGTCGAAGGTGCCCTGCAATACACGTGCGATCGATCTCAGCGCTCCAGGCCTAATAAGTCCTCCATCCCTCCGATATTGGCAAATTGGTACTACAGTTGTCTGGGAAGATAGCAGTACTGGCTCGATATGCATTCAATCACCTCTAACGATGCTTAACAAAGTCGAATGCATGGCGTATCCACCAGCAATTCATCAACGCCGAGAGCTTTATCCTTCATCCTTTTAACACGATTCCAACTACAGATGAGATCAGCAAGGTAGAAGTACTCGATCTATGGTGCATGAACGAACACCTCACATCCATTATATTTACTACTATTTTCATTCGCTCGTTACACTACCATCTCTCATTTTCCTACCATCCACTGCGTTAAACTCTTACTAGAAAAAGTACATGTGAATGGGTGAGTGAGTCGACTGCCGAACCGCTGGTCACGTTGTGTTACAGCGTCTTTCGTTTTACGTAAATCGGATGCGGTGCGGTTTTTTTTTGTCACTTTCAGTTGTACAACAAATTCTTTATGATGTTTTGGTCGTACAGTCGAACCGCTATCGATAAATGCAGTGGAACAATCTACAACGTATACAATTTTATCAACACTGGAAATACTTTATATGATTTTGTGGAGGCTCTAAACCTGATAGTAATTATGGAAACTTTCAGATGACAAAAACCAGAAGACAAATCGTGTAAAAACAAATTGGTTGTGCGGGTCGCAGCATAATTCCCATTCTTTCGTTCTCTGGACTCCCTGGGTCAACCTGCCAAAGTCTGCCCCACGTCGTCACCACCACGAAGCATGCGCCGCCTTTGTGGATCAGAGATTTGCCACCACGCGACTAGCTTGATAGCAGGAAGGTGGTAGATCTTGGAATGAGTTTACTCTTAGCTGGGTGTCCCGATAAAAACGCTGGACTCCACCTCAGTTTGAAAGACCCTACCAGGAGGATGAATCTCCCTGCTGTTTATCGCATCCCAACACCCGAGAACACCTCACAGCCACGAAGACGCGGTAAACCGTTACGATGATATAAATGAAATAATAAAACAAAATGCCAGAAATTGCCACCAAAACGTTTAAGTTATATCTATAATTCCACAGAAATACTCCCATAACATACCCATTAAGGATCCCATACTCATTCGCGCTTCCACAACCGACGGTGCAGTTGGTGTGGCTGCCGTAATTGTGCTGCTTCGACGAGTTGGAGGTGGCGGACGAGATGAACCTTCTGAAAGGAAATTTCGGAAACCTATAGATTATAGTTCACATGAATGAGTTCACACAGAATGATTTTCTATGATTTATTTGGAATGATCAAAAGTCGCAGAAATATATTTTGAATAGAGATCTAATGAAACATGACGTCACATGAAAGGAAGACAAAGAAGCGAATCTTAACAAAGTGGTAGCAGAAAGATGACTGAAGCCACAGATGATCTTGATACGTTTTGTACTCCGATGAAACATAAGGAAGAAAAGATTCATAAGACGGATTACGTTATTGACGAAAGCAAACTAACCGAAAGGAAAGAAATAAGCGAGAAAATAACCTTATAAAAAAGCTCCTCAGCATTAAAACTCACCTCCCCTGATCCGGATACCGTTTTGAAGTACAGAGCCGGTGTTATCGGCTTGTGTTCCAATGGCAGTATTTCCGTTAGCGACGAGGGCTTCAGTTTCGCATCCATTCGATACCCGTAACGCAGCATATTCCGTATGGATTCGCTGGTTGGAGTGATGCTGCTGATCTGCAGCCACACAATAACTTTCAAGATCGGAACCAAGTTGATCTAAAAGATTTCAATACGATGCACAACAAATGACTGGCAGTCTCACATCACTTACCGATTTGTTGCAGTGTCTCGGCTATTAATGCAGCTGATGAAGCTGCATCCGAACTACTACACGAACTGCTTCCGGGACGATATACGGGTGTGTTACCGAATGTTGGTGTCTGAATAGACTGATTTCCACTTCAACATTGAGGAAAAAAAAAGATGTCAATATATATGTAAGCTATAAATGCTAAGAAAACAACCTTCTACCTTTTTCTTTCATTTTTAACAAAATCTCCATAACCTCTCCCGTTCCCTCCCCACTTTTCCTATTTTGATATTTCACCATTGCATCGTAATTCCATGCAAGGATCGAAGATATGACATAAACCCAGAAGTTTCGAGACATTGTCGTCATTTTAACTCGTTTTACATCACGAAAAAATAGAAATCATAAGTCTTCTAAAAAGACCAGTATTGTACGAGAAAATGGAAAAGTATTCAAACAAAGTGCCATGAATCGTGGGGAAAAACTGTGTAAACAAAGTGGTCTTTGTTTTAACTGTTTTGTGAGTTCTGAAATGATACGCATCACTGTGGCACTCGTACTTCTAACAACGAGGTGATGAAGAAGAGGAAATTCATCTTTGGACTACAAAATTCTCGAACTGAGGAACATTGATCTAGACTGCCCTGAGTGAAACGTTAAAACCACCTACTTGAGCAAATGTGGTACGCAGTTCACCGGTGAAACTCTGTGGTCGTTGCACTCGTCCATTTGGAACCAAGCCTATATCAAACTGCGAGCCACCGCCTGTAGGACGAAATGACGACGGTAGCATGTTCTGATGATTCGAATGCTGCTGAGTGTTCGGTACTTCAGGAGGAGGAGTACAGCGAGACTTAAAATGACCGCTCACATTACGAAACCAAAGTACTACTACTTTCTGGTTTAAAATATCTATCTTAACATACTAAAACATAGTTCGAGGCATTATAAGCTTATCCACTTTTCTATGATTCAATTTTTAGACGAGTTTCTCTTCAAAAGCAAAAAAATATTCTGGAAAACAAACAGATGAGTGAATCCGGAAGGGATTAAGAATTTGACATTATGTGCCGATACACAGTAGGACAATACAAAGGAGTATCACTCCTCACAATGCGCACCTTAATGATATTCTTCTCACTAATTCGTCGTTGCAAAGGAGGTTTAGAAGGAGGTATGAAAGTCTGAGGCGTGATACTACAATGGTTCGAATTGCATCTGAATCAAGAAATTATAACTGCATCACAAATCGATAGTACCATCAAAAAGGCTTATTCAAAAACGAGAAGATTAGGAAGATCACCTCGTGGCCGCGGAAATTGTATGTGGTCTGGGAGCCTGAGGTGTCATATCGTTATCGTCTGAAAAATTATGACAATTAAGTAAATCATCTGATAAGTAGGCTACTTATTTCGAAAATTGAAAGTAATGTTTGTGATTTCTGAAAGCAACTCAGCCTCTACAATGGTCACCAAACTGTTATAATTGTTATCTTCTCAACAAATCCACACAAAGTTGTAATCCGATACTTATAACATGAGAATAACGCAAAACACTAGAAGAAAAAAAACCTTAACATTGACATTTTCTACTCAAATAGACGACAGAGACGAATAACGCGTAGCCTTCTTTTGAATCCAAAGATTGGACCGAAGACTGAAGATTTTGACTCAGCCAAATATTAACTCGTCCCCTTACTGGAACACTGTCAGATGTTGCGTTTAATCCAAGATTTATACAAAAAAGTTGCGTTTTGTGGAAATGCTCAAAACGTTATAGAATATTTTTTCAAGTAAATCTGTGGCAAATATGATAGTTCACGTGTTGCTTTAATAACTCTTCAAAAAGTCAGAACAACGGCGACATCAGCAAAACCGAAGACACATCCCATCTAACTTCGTGTCAACGAATAAAAAAGAATCGAGGACTTAACAACTAATGAGTTTCCCACCTCTTACTGGATCGTACCTAATATCTAATCTCTCTAACCACAATCAGCATGCCGTTTTCAGAAATATTCCACCTCAGGTTGACATTTAACAATTGCACAAAAACTACAATTGACGTAGAAGTCCCAGCTACAAGAACGCACCATGACTAAAACTGCTTCCAGGTGTAGTAGCTCGAGTAGACAAACCACCATCGTCGTTTACCGAGTCACCATTACGGTAAGCCCGAACTGCATTTGTTAAACACTGCCGCCAGGCATTGTCGGCACCTTGTGATAGATCGCTAAGGATCGTCTGCACCAACATGTGACCATCCACCAACTGGAATGAAAGCAAAATTACTGCGCCTTAGCATCTACAACTCGGTATCAGCATCTATCTATAACGATTTCAAATAGCCACTTTTCTGCAGAACTGTTTAAAAACTAAATAAGTTATGTAAAATATAAGCTATCACATTTTGTTAACTTTTTATTTGTTGCCTGCTGCAATTTCCCACGGCAGGGTATTATGTAAAATATAACCACAACGATGCTAACACATTTGAAAAGCTCCGGAGCGCAGATATCTGCAGTGGGACCGAACGTGCTGTTAGCTTTTCCGGGTGCTGACCCCTTTACCACAACACCATGCGGGTCCTTCGTTTCGCCTATCTCTCAGCCAGTTTTCTACCTACTAGTGCCATCAGCAATCACCTGTCATTATCACATTCATCATCACCAATGAAACGTTATTACAATGTTAATGAAAAAACGACTTCTGAAATATGCCGACATTTCTTGTTGTCTTTTAGAACTTTTACCATTAAAAAAGCTTCAGCTATATTTTTCAATAAAAGAATATACCGAGAATCCGACCCGGGTGGTGTGGTGGTGAAGTGCGCTGCTCCCCGGTAAGGACAACAGTGCGTGTTCGTTCCCCACCGCATACACCCACGGTCCGGAGTTTTGCAAATATCTCAGCATTACATAAAAGAATATATTTTGAAAGAAGGATTATCAAAGATCATTACAGCAGAAAGAAAGAATGAGATTACTAGATTAAAGATGGATTAAAGATTATAGAAAAAAGAATATATTGGAAGAAGCAAAAACAATGAAAGGATATATTTTGAAGAATACCAATAAAAGGGCAAAAGAATGATAAAGTGGCATCGCAACGAAAACATTGGAACTACACGAAAAACATCTGCTCAGACCGTCAGTGAGAAAACCTAGCCTAAATCTCTAATCATTCACCGATATAGAATAAGAGACAAGGAAAGGATTCATTAACACAGACATTTGAACAAAGCTCAATCAATACTGACCGATTGCCATTCCTTTCCCAGAAATCCACGAGGATTCAAAATCTATCTACTATAATATCCATGACTAACCATTTTCAAGCCCTACTGAGCTCACCTTAACAGTGCTGTCCAAATTTTCGACGACCTGTCTAATGTGTGAACCTTCATCAAGAAGAGAAATCTCAGCTGTCTAGAAGTGTAACATATATTCAATGAATCAATCGAAAAAAACGGATCCAACCGATAAGAATCCGTATGATCCAAATTCACTTACGAAAACTGGCATTAGCGTGCCGATGAAAAAAGCAAACTGTGTCCGTTGTTCGCCAAGAACCTGACTACATAGTTGACGCTGCTCAGATACCGCAGCTGGATCAGGTCGGCCTTTTCGTGTCCTGATCTAAACATGTAACAGAAAATAGAATGTCTTACGACATAACGGAGAAGATCAGCTTCTCATAGCCACCAATAGTTTTCCATTTACTACAGCGCTTGAAGAATTTGGAAATTGACAGATTCATAAGAGAGACGTTCCTCTTACGCAATAACACTACATATTTTATACAAGGAAAATTTATTCTGTAAAAAAATGAAAAAATTTCTCCAAACTTTAAATTTTCTACAGTCCTATCGTAACGTAACCGTAGCTGCCACAGACATCAGCAATTCGCTGGGATCACCACTATGGTTCGATAGACGAAATCCTTTGTCTCACAACGCTTCGCCGCTCGAAATAAACGCATCAAACGAAAAAAATGTATTTTGTGAGCTCCAGAAAATCATATTTTCATTTTTATAGAATAAGGATACTTACACCATGTTGGCAATAACATAAAGATTGTAAAAGTTTTTACTTGAATTAACAAAGATCCCTGTAAACTGTGATCTGACAATTTAAAACCGGAAGACGAAAACCTTCTGATCACATGTAAGTTGGAATCAACTCACATCGACCATTAGATACTAAAAAAAATGGGACATCGACGAACTGCACGTGGACAAGCTTACCTACGATATTTAAGGGAGGAATTTGACAATATTTTAACTATTCGGTTAAAAACCACTTAAACACGCTAAGAATTTGGGAAAAAACAGTATACTGGAACATAGATTCTCAAAATACAATGAACCAAAACAAGAAGCTTCATCTAGACTTCTCACTCGTCTATTCGCTCCTAACATTCCTAAACTTGTAGCTAAACTGACTGAACCCAGGTCAGAGAAACACTACGAAGTCAGAGGAAATAAATATGCCCATATCCTTCATATTCTAAAACACCTTAATCTGTTAATATCTCACGGTTATGTACAGTTCAAATCTTGATTTACCGATTTCTGAAAAAATCAAAGTAAACTTCGTGACTAAAAACGTTGATAATGATAGTGATAAAATGCAACTTCTTGGTGCAATTGTCCGCACGTCCCTCGTTGCGGTGACCATTAACGAGCCCTCTAACATCACGCGAACCTTTTTTACGTGCTTCGCTGCACTCTTGTCTAATTCAGCCGTCCTCTGTTTCCAGTAAGCGGCTCTCTGTTGGATGCTGACGGCTGTCTCCTCGGTCAAAGCGTCCGCGACAGCCCTCAGGCGGTGTTCCAGCGCTCGTTCTCGCATGCAAACTCGTGTCATACATACGCCCATATCTCGAGCTGCGCCTAGAAAGTAGGAAACTCGTTGTCGCAACAGTTAAACGACCAGCAGAAACTACGTTCACGTTAAAACAATGACTCTGAAAAACAAGCACTTTTATTGCAGACACTTCTAATCAAACCCAATAGCACAGCATTCATACTCCTTAAAACTGCTGCTTAATTGATCAATTTCGTTTGTGTCTCACGGTTTTTCACCGCTTTTCAACTACCGCACTATATCTCAGCATCACTGTGGTTATATTCAAATTCATATTCTGCCATGAAAAAAGAATAAGCAAAGAGGATAAAGCACTCGGCGTTGATCAATCGCTGTGGGATGCGCTATGCATTCGACTCCATCCATCATCGTTAGAGACGAATGTATGCATATCTGGTCTACATAATGACTCGCGGTGGCCTGGCCGATGTATCGAGTCAGTGTTGCCATCATCCCACACAGGTTTGGTACCAATTTACCGACTCCGGAGGGATGGAAGGATTGATGAACCTGAGGCGCGGGATCCAACTCATACGCATTGCAGGTCACCTATAATCACTGCGCCTCCACACACTCCCATAAAAAAGAATAGCAGCAAATAAAAACTAAAACGTAGTGATTTCGGCTGCAGCCGCTGTTTTGCTTAGCATAATGCCGATTTTTGCTACCCAGATCATTCCTGCTAATGGACGATTGTTAACAGCACTGTTAGGGTAAAAAAAATTAGCTGACAAAAAGCTAAATGAAGCGCCCCGGTTGCCGTGGTCGATAGAACGGAGTCCCCGGAAAGGGTACTCACAATTATCACAATTCCGAAGCGCAGTTGAGGTTCCGAGGTTTACTCATATCTCAGCAGCATTGTGGCTATATTTCACTTGCCAGGAAAAGAACAAGCAGGAAATAAAAGTCTATATATATATATGTATATATATATACATATATATATATATATAAGACGTTATCGACAAGTTATCTCAACGAAAATTAAATGGCTGAACTTGATGAAGAACTTCTCGAAATCCTGCAGTACAAAGAATTTAATACATAGTAAACACATGTGAACAGGTGCCATAATAAAGTTTTTTCGCTCTAAAGCCTAAGAAAAATCATCTGCCAGCCCCGTTTCCTGAACCCAATTTTAGAAAGCTGTTTAACTACAAATTAAATAGATCAATTATTTCATATCATTAGACTTCTACTCAGGAACATCTATCTACATTTGCCCGACTCACAAAAATAGTCTTAACCACTCACCTTTTACGAAACAAGGCAATGGTAGATAGAAAACTAGCTGAGAAAAAGGCAAAACGAAGGAACCGCATGGTTTGCTGGTGAACGCGTTAGCCCCAGGAAGGGGTAATAGCGCGTTCGTTCCCCACCGCAGACACCTGCGGTCCCAGGCTTTGCAAATATCTCAGCACCATTGTGGTTGTATCACACATATTACCCTACCTTGAAAAATCATAATAAGCAGTCAACAAAAACTAATATTGTGGTTTACGGAACACTTTTTTGAAAACAAACGATCGCTTTTTACGATGATACTAAGCCATTATAAACAATGTTTCGATCTTACAATTCGATGCATGAAAATAAATTGAAGTATTGAAGTAACAATTTTCTCAAATTGATTGTAAACACACCCTTCAGATTGTTTGCATAATCGCTGACCGCTTGGATTGAATCCATAAATCCAGCAAGACATGAAGCAGTAGCCTTCAATTGTGCTGATAGCTTTTGTGCACGCTGGCCAACCATTTCCCACACCGGATACGATTGCTGAAAATAGTTGTCCAAGCCTGTTGTGAGTTTGCTCTCATAGAAAACGTTTTGACGTTATGCTGTTTAGGAATTAACTTCACAGTTCCTTCCATTAACTGAATTATTAATCAACACAACCTTAAGTACTATCAATTTGTCACACTTGTCTAGGTGCTTCTCGCCACAGCTGTTGCTAAGAGCCGCCTCCATAGCTGAGGCGCTGTTTTCAAAAGGAAGAAAAAATCCCTGTTGGTCGTTGACGTTCCATTTGTTAATAGATTCATAATTCATTACTTATGACTATGCAAAGGTCATAAGTTATCACGCTTAAAGAAGTCCCTCTCACGGGTGGTGTCAGAGCTGCTAACGTATTCATGTGAATATGGACATAACGAGTCACATGAAGCCAGTCGAGAGACTTTTAAACTTAAGTCCCCAAAAAGCGTTCGCTATTACAGTACGACAAAAAATGAGAAACAAAAACAGTTTTGAAATTCCGCCTATTAGCACAAAACGTAGATAGATAGATAGAGAGAGAGAGAGAGAGGGAGGGAGAGAGAGAGTGAGAGCGAGAGAATGAGAGAATGAACGAAACCTTACGCAGCTGACATAAGTCAAACAGTCCGATAGAATGTCATCTTAAAAAGCATTCGGAAACTACCGTGTTAGCGGCACGGCAACAATATATAAAGGGTATTAATGATAAATTGTTCTGAACCAGATCAATCCTTTGAGAATAGTCCGAGCAGTCGATCTCATTACTCATCCTAAAGTGGATGAATGCACTATTTGGCTATACCTATTTATTCAAACATATTATTTAGCTCAGATGATGGCTAAGTGAGGTTTACCAATGTATCAAGTCCTTTAATTCTACCCTCTCAGACAAGCTTGGTATCAATTTGCCTATCATGGGCCCGGTTTCTCCAGGACGCGGCATCGAACCAAAGATTATGCAGATATTACAGAGTGTCTCTAACCACTACGCTACACATCCCTTCGATGAGATAGTGCGCAAGCACTAATCCCTTTTATGACACGATCAATAAAATCAGCTTGACAACTAGAAATTTACAAGTACCTAACTACATATATATTTGTCAACACTTAACAGTACACAAACTTTTCTATTGACAATAAACAATGTTTTCATGGAAGGCGCATGTTTTCCTTACTAAGAAAATGTTACAGTATGTCACTCCATAAATATAATTCCGAACTCGTACGAAATTTTATATATCCCTGACTCTGTTGTTATAAACAGAAAATCAATTTGACCATTTTAAAAGCTTATAAAGTTTCGAATATACGAAATAACATGAAGTCCAACTCACTCACCATCCCACCAGTAATCCCCATCATCCGTCTGAACAATTCAGCGGGTTCCGCTCGATCGTGAAACACGAAAAGCCTTACACTTCTGGTAAGAGGCTCTTAGGTTGTTTTTACTACGTTTGACGAGATGACCAGGGTTTGCGTGGCATAGCATTACTCCGAGCTAGGTTTTCGGATAAAAACGTCAAGTAGCACTCACACAAAAGAGCCGAACAATTACAACGAAGGCTGTTCTCTCAAGAGAAGCACTGCTTGACTGAAACTTTTCGTAAATCAATGGTAGCCAAAACCTCGACAAGTTTCTCCTTTAACCCACTCATCAGGAGAATTCATAATAGGAAAGCCTTAAACTGTACAACCATTGTGTTCCTTTTTTCGCTCAGCATATGCGAAATTTCAAACAAGCTATGTTCAACAGATTTGCTTATGCAAATCAAATTCGCCATGTATAACAAGGAAGCATAAAAACTAAAAACGGAAAAAGAAGTGAAGCAGCGCGAGAAATCCTACAATTGTCGCTTTTAGGCGTATTTATTGACTAAAAAATAGCATAAATCGCAATGTAGTTACTTTTTATTTACTGCGTATTTCTTCTTCATGGCACGGTATAATGTGAAATACAAAACTACAATAACTTCAGTAACTCGGAAAGGGTAATGCCGAGGTTCGGTCCCCGCCACAGACACCTGCGGTCTGAAATCTTGCAAATATCTCAACATTGCTAAGCTTTTATTTGAAGGCTACTATAGTTTTCACGGCAGGATATGATGCGAGATTCAACCATAATAATGCTGAGATATTTCGAAACCGACCTTTCCTAAACCTCGGTGTGACTAATCAATATGTATTCTTTCTTGATAAGCTTGCACGAGGTTGATAAATATATTTATTTTCGGCTAACGTTTCGACGTCTTCGTCTTCCTCAGAGCCGGTGATCCGAGTCGATGGTCCATGCTTGTTGTTCGCCTCGACGTTGCGTCTTCGCCTTCGTGTCGAGCCAGATCTTCCTCAGTGAGCCATCGTCTCGAATAAGGCATCCTCACTCAGTGATGCCCTTTTATACACAATGCTGATGGTGGATATATAATGACAATATAATCGAAATATTACTACGCTTTGTGCTAGCTGATAATACACGGACCTCTGCACGATGTGCGCAATGATGTATGTCCGGAAGAAATACAAGTTGTTACCACCGGACATTGTCATTATATATCCACCATCAGCATCGTGTTATTGCATCTTATTATTGTTTATGCAAGCCAAATTGTCCCTTGCCGTCATAAAATCTTTTCTATACTATTCACCTGCTGCATAAAGTAATATGACAGTCATCAGGTACTTCAACTCAACCACAATATTCTTACATCAACTTGTCGCTGTAACAACTGCTTCCATACCTAATGGTGGATTACATGCCATTTTAGGCTTAGTGTTCAGAATTGAAATCCATCTATTCCGTCATTATATTTATTATTATAATCTATCCTGTAACCAGGTTCCTACAAATGTTGACAAGGCCCTAAATTAATAAAAACTTGTTGGAAAAACAAAACCAGACCCATAGCACCTCTTAAATTGCTTGCTAACCCTCAAGACAATAATTAATTTCCCATGCCCAACAAAAGCCACCAATCCGTGCTCTTATCGCCGACCTCAAGCCGGTTGTCATGCGAATTGTACGGCACTTCATTAGGGTTCTCTCCTAATCCCACGATAGTCGCGCAATGATGACAATGCCCGCCAAACAAAGCAATAATCGCACGCCTTATTACGGGACCATTTCGAAAGCACCAAAACAAGTTCGCAGCATCGGGTTCTCCAATAGATGATGGTCTCCACAAACGCTCAAAACAAAGCCATCTGGTCCCTAGGCGAGACAAATTGCACAGCTTTCTACGTCAACCTGCTCTGAATGGCCATGATGAACTTTGTGATATTTTTGCATTGATTCTAAATTTCATCTGCATTGCTTGTATGCAAGATAATTCTTAAACGGCAGATCTGAGAATAAATAGGCGGATGTTGTCAACGACAAGGAGATAACCAAACTTTTATTTCTATGACCTGACATAAAATTGGTTTGCACACCTGTGCAGCTTGCACCTTTGCATTTATTAGATGACACCACAGACGCATAACGACGTCAAAGGGTGTTTTCATTTTCGAGTTCGGCCCACGTTGACGCAGTGATACAATTTAAATTTGCGAGGAACCATTAAAAAAAACCTCAATAGTTCGACAAGACAAAATATTTTCAGAAAGAAAAATAACAAAACTTCTTGGAAGAAGAGCAACCAAACTCTCAAAGGAGACATTGTAGATAAACAAAGAGCATTAATAGTACTCGTGACTTCAGGAACACTTACAAATTCCAATTTCTGATTTTCAACCTCATAACCACACATTCATTCCTCCACAGTGGATTACTATACTGTTTTACTACTAAAGGAATCCATGACACTCACAAAAATGACGTACTAGTGAGAAACACAACGTCCCATTTGTTTTATGTCGAGTGATCTGAACAAACAACGAACTCGACCACTCGAACAATTGTTGTTACATCACATCATCGTCTCCAAGAGCAGCGATCATTTATCACAGTTCGGCTGTTGGTGGCTATTCAGTCATAGAAAAAGTTACTGCTTCAATTTTCGGGTGAACGCGACGCAATTCCCAGCTGTTAATGTTTCCTTTCTAACGAAATTAGAGAAAAAGAAAACAGAGTCAAGTTCACATGTACTTAGTAGAAATGCTAGAAATTTTAGAACGTGTACTGTATGTGCACGGTTAACAAAGCTCCAACGAGACGCCAAAAGGAAGCTCCTACATCACACACCAAAACAGTTGCCATAAAACTGGAGTTCGGTGAAAGCAAACGATTTTTTGATAGAAAAAAATGCTTTGATTGACCCATCTTTCACGTTTACTACGCGGATCCCAGTACTTTTTGCATTCGATTCGTTTCCTCACATCCATCATCCACGAGAAGGACAGGCGGAGCATTGATCGTGACGTCGATCATCACGAGCACGGTACTGACCCAACAACACACCAGAGTCACCAAGCCTTTCATGCGCCCTGGTCGGAGAATTGGTAGCAGAATTATCTGGGAAAAGTTCAATCGCTGCAATCCAAGTGGAAATACGAGAGGAAACCAACGAAAGTCGAAAGGAAATATCCTCAAGCAACAGCCAAATCGAGACGCAAAAAAAGTTGCATGCCAAACATTACCCTTCGGCAAACGTCTTCGTAAAGAAAATCCCACTGATAGTCAATCAGAAGACAATTCGAGAAACGAAAGACTCTAAAAAACCACATATGGAGATAAATGGTACGACATCCGTCAAAGGTAATTCTACGGCAAAACATCAAAACGTCCGCCAACTTTATAATCCCCTATTCACCTTGAAAAACCTTTAAACTAACAACCTGAAATATGAAGAAAATCTGACGGTAATATGGTATTCAGTGACAAGAACCTACGGCTTTTCTAGGTTCAACAACTTAGTCACAACACCCTGTAAACACAACTGCTTTATAAAGACATGTTTTTACAACGAAAACAGTATAAATTCAATTCTTCATCTAATGATTCTATCAACATTTGCACTTGCCGATGACTTTGCTGTGTGCTAATCTCAAATCCTTTCCTTCCAACGTCAATTATT